GTCAGCTCTGGCTCCCAGGAGCCCGATGCTCTAGAGCAGAGCGAGGATCCTTTGTGCTGCCAAGGGTCACGTGGATATTTATAACGTCATTCACAGGCCACACTATCAGACAGATCATTAACTGGCCCCTAAGCTGATAGCTCCTGGGAGGCAAGGATGGGGAGAATGGCCTTACAGGCTTCGGACGTGTTGTCAGGAGAGACCAGGCCCTGGAGAAGGACATCGTGTTGGGTGAAGTGGAGGGGCAGCGGAAGGAGGAAGGCCCTCTAGGAGCTGGATGGACACAGCGGCTGCAGTCAGGGGCTAAGAGTGAGGAGGGCCCAGGACCGGGCAGTGTTTCCTTCTGTCATGCATGGGGGGCCGTGGGTCAGAGCCGGCTTGCCGCCACTGACCGCCACCACAAAGACAAGGCTGGAGCTGCGTCTCTTTGGTGAGGCCTTCGATGTTAGCTGGGGTCGATGTCGCCGGCCTCACACGGTCTGCTGGCCGGACGTTCCCCAGCCCTGATCGGGAGTGGAAGCTGCCAAACTGGTTTGTCCTCCTGCCCCCTTTTCAGAAAAAATAAATCAATCAGAAAACGTGACTCAGCCCACCCCCTTGGCAATGAAAAAGGTCCATACGCTAGCCCATCGTCCAGGATACAGTGTGGTGGTCATTAGGTGCCATCGGGTCAGGTCTGACTCACAGGGACCGGATGTCCGTCCTGCACTGTCCTCACAGCTTCTCGTAGGTTGGAGCCCACGGTGGCAGTGATGGTGTCTGTCAGTCCAGATCAAGGGCTTCTGCAACCCCTCCAGATTGTTCCAGGACAGCCCACTTTGGAAACACTGGACCAGAGCCTTCTAAACACCACTGGAGATGTTCCGGAATGAGCCCGCGGCAGCCTCCAGAGTGTCAGGAAGCAGGCTAGCACGGGGCACACGTTCAAAGAGACGATGCGTAATGCTTCTGGTTGGAACACACCAGGAGGCGAGCGAGAAACACGCTGTAGGAGCTGAAACATACATCACGGGACCGGAGGACATGGCTCTCATTGGGCGGGGAGCAACGCCGGAGCGTGCAGAATCGGAACGAAGCTTTACACAACCCTCTTCCAAAGCGCTGTCTAGCTGGCAGGGGTGCTGCCATCAGACTGGCACGGATGAGCCCAGACCACACAAACTGCTTCCAGAGAGAAGCTGACTGCTCCCCATCCAGCCAAGCGGGAGAGACTGGTTTCTTCACCCGCACTCGTCCCTGGATCCACACAGCCCTCTGAACCCTGTCTGTCCCACGGAAGGGAAGGACTGGAGTCTTTGGATGGGAAGTTCAAACAAGCTGGAGCGACAGCCGGCCTGTCCCGAGTGCTTCCTGTGGGCCCGGCGCTGCAGTAGCGAGAGCATCTTGCCGCTGGGTGTCTCGCTTCGTCCCACTACAACCCAGTGAGGTAGGCACTGCCGTCCCCATTTTATAGAGGAGGACACGGAGGCACAGAGAGGTTAAGTCACCGGAAAGAAGGCCGGGGGTTTGAATGCCACCCTGTCTAAATTCAACACCCAGGCTGCTCAAGATCGGGGCAGCTGGGCGGGGGGGTTGTAGCTGGCCGCTGTTGCTGCGCTACTGTTGGGGTTTCCACTCCGAGGCTCCCAAAGTCAAGAGGAACAATTAGTGGATGTCGCAGTGATGGACCACAAAGACCCCAAGCTCGGGAGGGAGGGAGACCCTGGCAGATGCCACCATGGACATCCGCTGCTGTCTTGTCCGTGCCGAGAGACAAGCCTCCCCATCCCACCGTCCCTTCTGGGGGAAGGTGTCAACCACAGGATGCCATGGAAGTAAGCATGTGCCTAGAGCAAGGCCAATCGGGGCCCTGTCCTGAGATTTTCAGTGAGGAAGAGAGCATGGCTCTACCTGTGAGGTCCTGAGCCAATCGTTGTAGGCTTGGGGCTGCTGGGAGCCTCCCGGTGGAGGCAAGAACAGGACCGGGTGCAAAGAGATGCAGGGATGAGCAGCTGAGCCCTGGTGACCGTGGGCTCCTGGATCCAGCCAGACCTGATGGCTACCATGTGACCCAGGCTGGCCAATCACACCAGCATACCCTGCTCACATGACCCTGCTATCAGCCAATCAGTGTTCTCTCTCTTCTGGAACCCATGGTTGGCTCAGGAAGACATGGGGACCCAATCGGAGGAGACTCAATTCCAGGATCGGAAGTTCTGGAATTTTCTGGAGAGCAATGTTCTCTTGGGAAGGGGGCTCTGGCAGGGATGCAGGGGAAGGCCTGCCTGAGAATGAAGAGAACTCAGGAAAAAGCAGAACCAGAGGCGCAGAGAGCAGGGTGCGCCCTGCTGACATCATCACTTGAGGCCCAAAGGCTCATGGCCCCAGTGGTGGTCAGAGCACCCTTCTCGATAGACCTTCCTTGCACAGTTCTGTTCGTCACGTGCGACCTCGACAGCTGAGACCCAGAGGCTCCTGTGCACACAGTCACTGTGGCTGCAGCAGCACCAGGCCTGGGCCACCGGTCCCATGGCCCCAGGCTGGCAGTCTACCTGGTCGGACCGTGGTCTGGACACTTGTGGGTGGCCATGGGGGCACTATCTGGAACTGAGGGAGCTCCTGTGGGACTGGCCAGAGGAGGAGGAGGAGGTGGCGGTGCTGAGCTGGGAGAAGCCACTGGTGCAGGATTCCAGGCTGGACATGGACCCCCTAGGGAGAGAGGGCAGGCGCACGTTACCCGCGGGTGATGACACAGCCCTGGGGCCCAGACGCAGCTCTGGGGCCTGGGCCCAGCAGAGGGAAAGTGCTGACGCTACAAATGAGGTCCCAGGGGTCTCAGCATGTCACCACCCAGCCCCCCGGGGAAAAACAAGGGACGCCATGGTGAGAAGCGGGTCCAGCCCTCCCGTACCGCACCCATGAACAGGGAGCACTAAGCAGCCAGGAGAGCGCCCCCTCCTGGACACAACCTGGGAGAGTCCTTGTCCTTACCCATCGGCACTGTCCCCCCACACCTGCAGCCTCAGGACCTAGGCACATGCTGCTCCTACTGTCTAAGCACCTTCTCCCCCGCCCCTCCCTCCCCGTCTGTTAAGCAGGGCCACAAGCCAGGAGGGGCCTGGGAGCGCTAGGGATGTGGCGGCAGGACTGAGGAGCAGGGCGGGGCAGCTTAAGTGGTTCCATAGGGCTCAGACAGTCAGCTGTGGGCCCCACTAAAGTAGTGCATGCAGTTAAGTAAGCGCTCAGCAACTAGCCTGAAGGTTGCTGGTTCAAATCCTCCTAGAGGCAACTCGGGAGACGGGCCTGGTGATCGGCTGCTCAGAAGAACTCCCCCGGGGGAGTTCTTTTCTGCACGGGTGGGTCCAAGAAGTCACAGGCAACTAGCCACCACCACTGCAAGGTCACCTCCTCCAGGCAGCCTCCTCACAAGTCTCTCTCCTTGTGCCAGGCCCTCTCACCACAGGCTCACCAAAACCCAAACCAAACCCACTGCCGCCTCAAGTCAGTCCTGACTCACAGGGACCCCACAGGACAGGGTGGAACTGCCCCTGTGTGTTTCTGGGGCTGTCACTCATGGGAATAGAAAGCCTCATCTTCCTCCTGAGCAGCAGCTGGTGGTGTAGAACTGCTGACCTTGCAGGTAACAGCCCACCACGTAACCCCATGCCACCAGGGCTCCCCACTGGCTCACAGCACCTGGATACTCAGTAGTCGGCAGGTGGGAGGCTCGGGGCTGCCTCAGCGTGGCCTGTGGGGCCACACCGTCCCCGTCCCTCCTACCTGAAGCTCTCTGACGCCAGCACCTCATAGTAGTAGAGCAGCTTGCACCTGGGGCCGGGGCTGTGCAGGGCAGTCAGGACGTCATCCACGCCGGGCAGGTTGCAGGCCACGGTGCCGGGTGCCCCATGCAGTTGCCACTGCAGCAGGTAGATGCCAGGCCAGCGGGTCACATGGGAGCCCTGGAACACAGCAGGCACCCGAGACCGGGTCCTCCTGGGCCATGGATGGGCAGGCAGGGTGGGGGGAAGCTGAGCCTCCAGGGTCTCCTAGGCCCAGCGTGGACCAGTGGATCTGCCTCCTGGGCCCAGTCCCAGGGTGGCACAAATGGTTAAGGCACTTGCCAGTAACTAAAAGGTTGGCAGTTCAAATTCACCCAGAGAGGTCCCTGGGAAGAAAGGCCTGGCGATCTATGGCTAAAAAAAAAATCAGCCACTGAAAACCGTCGGGTACAGTTCTCCTGTGTCCCACAAGGGAGGGGAGGGAGGGGCTAGGGGAGCTTTGACAACCAAGGTGAGTCATCTTCCTGACCTTCCGGCTCAGCCACCTGACCCTCACCCTGACTGGGGCTCCCTGAGGCCCGGCCCACCCAGATCAGGCGAGGGTGAGCGCGGGAAGGCTGAGCTATAAGCTGGAGCTGCATGACCCTGTGAGTGTGTGGGGGTGGCATAGTGGTTATGCACTGGATTTCTGACCGCAAGGTCAGCAGTTTGAAACCACTAGCTGCTCCACGGGAGAAAGACCAGCTTTCTACTCCTGTAAAGAGGTACAGCCTCAGAAACCCACAGGGGCAGCTCAGCCCTGTCCTGTGGGGTCACTATGAGTTAGAACTGACTCGATGGCAAGGAGTTTGGAATTGTGGGGCTGTTTTTTTGAAGGGGGGCCACTTCCCTCACCTGTCCCAGCCCTCAGCCTCTGCTCTGGGATGGAAGGTACCCCCTCCTGACTCAGGCAGCCCCCCCATCATCCTTGTGGCCTGCTAATTATGGACTGTACTTGTCTGCATAAAACTTGCACTCATACTGCATCAAACAGAGAGCGAGGGAGATCACGGAAGAGTCGATGCATTTCAGTGAGGGTGCGGGTGGAGACTCATGGAAGGACCACAGCTGCCCGAAGAACAAGGACAGTCAGGGTGCCCCTAGGGGCCAAGATGGTGAGACTTGGTCTCACATACTTAGGAATGTTGTCAGGAGAGACCAGTCCCTGGAGAAGGACACCATGCTTACTCGAGTGGAGGGCCGGCGGGGAAAGGGGAAAGGACGGGCACGGTGGCTGCACCCACGGGCTCACACGAGAACAGTTGTGAGGCTGGCACAGGGCCAGCGGAGCTTCCCTCTGCCGCCCATCAGGTCACTGTGGGTCAGCCCCAACTCCCTGGCTCCTAATGGCAGCAGCTGGTGGCAGTCTGTGACCACAGCCCCCCAACATAAGTGCCACCGAGTGACTGGGGTCACGGTGACCACTGGGTGCAGAGGAGTGCTGGACTCCATTGGGTTTTCAGGGCTGTGATCTTTG